TAGGAAGTGCCGCTGGAATTTCCGGTGAGTTCGTCGCATCGTGTCGTGATGCTCTTCCCCAGAGGAACCGCGAAGAAAGTAGTCCACCATGTGGTAAGCATGAAAGTCATATCGATTGGTATGTGATAAATCACGCGTAGTGCGAGTCTGCTCACCCATGAAAGAAATCTTTAGAAATCTGCGAGATAAAGGTACATACACGCGTGCGCAAAATTAAGTTAATTTAATTTAATTTCTCTTTTTATTATCATTACGAGATTACAATATTCAATATTACAATTATAAACTAATTAGCAATAATTAATAATTATATATTATATATAACAGTATTTACAACAATTAGAAATAATATTTAACAATTTAAATAATTCTTAATTTAATATTGAATTTTTTATTGAAATATTATTTTGAAAAATTGCAAAATATTTCATCAACATATTTGCTAAGATAAATTTTGCTCAAATTTTTTCAAAAAATCAAATTTCAATCCATGTGTTTTTTTTTAGAATATTGCTTGACTTTTCATTTCTCACAACTCTAATAAATGTTGTAAACTTATAATTAGTAATAATTGAAAGGATACATTGCTAAGTATATGTTGCTATCAGAATTGCAGAGCAACTGTCCTCATTTGTTGAAAACTCGATGCCTTCACGATATGATAATATTAAGTAGCAATTTGCTAGCAATTTGCCGACAACTTTAAAATCGTTATCATCAAAATTCGTACTATTGCCATCATGTTGCCATAATAATATGCAGAACATATTATTATGGCAACATGATCATACAATGTTATATTGCCGACAATGCAAGATGCCATTGACGCAGCTATCTCGCTGTTAAACTGCTAGCAATACATATACACATTGTTGTTTGCATGTTGCTACAATGTCGGTATATTCGAAATAGTTAAAGACAAATCTACGGCAAGTTGTCAGTATCATAAGTAATAACAGATTTGCGTGATTTTGCTGAGACACGCTTTGCTATCTGGGAATTTATGCAATGTCATTAAGAAATTACATATTACAATACATACCTCTCTATTACGATCAATATTATATAAAAAAAAGATAATCTTCGAAAAAAAGGCCTAAGTAGAATTTTAGACCCTTTTTCCGGAGATTAGTTTTTTATATAATATTGATCATAATACAGAAGAGAGTATTGTAACATACAGCTTCTTAAACAACTTGCGTATGTAGTTGTATGCTCCTTTTTATTTATGTTTTATGTTATCGAGCCATTTCTAATAATTTTGTTTAAATTTTATTTAGTACTTTTAATATGTGCTAGACAAGGAGTTCCCTGTGCCAGACAAGGAGCGACAGTACATTTCCAATTATAGCACAAAAACGATATTTAGAAATTCACTCAAAAACTAAAGGACTATAGATATAAATATAATACGAATTTCTTAAACCGAAGAAAATGGGGGGTAACCAAGCAAATATTAGTATGAAACCTTAGAAAGTTGCTTTGCTACTTTACTAATATTCACTTCGCTTATCAACTCATTTTCAAATATCGGCGCACAGTAGTGGGAAAATAAAAATTACTATTGGGAAATAAAAATTATTGTTCAAAAATTGCGATCTGCAGCGATAAAATATGCGATACAACCACCTTAAATATGTGATTCATTTTTACAATAAGAGAATAACAAAAAATAAGAAACGAAAAATTTATCATGGGAAAAGAAAAAAATCTCTCACTTACATATTCATCAATTCTTATAAGAACTAAAATCAAAGCTTAATAGATACAAAATTACCGTACTTAATAGCTTACAATCTAATTTGCGAGATAACGTTCGTACACAGATCTCAACTTAAAGCGTTACGATCTGATCGACATAAGATCACGGTGACAAAAAGTGATTCCTTAAATCTGTAAGTAGAAGAGGGTGGCAGGTGGGTTTTATTTACGAGTATATTTTTTCAAAAGTCATTTTTTTTCAATAATCTGGTATCAGATTATTGGGGATTGAAGAATGTGAATTGAAGATTAAAATTCAATCAATTAGGTAAGTTTACAATTTTAATCTGTTTCGTTTTAATTTTCCAATTGGTCGACTTTTAATCTTCAATTCACAATATTCAATCTTTGGATACGTAGTGACGTAACACGCGGAGCTTTAGGATTTCTACAGAACTTCTACGGAACTGATCGATGCTCCACGTGTGCGTATTCGTTCAAAATGATTATTTCTGATTAATTTAATGTGCTCTCCGCGTAATAGCAGGAGACGCACTACACAACTTACGCATGAATTACTACGAAAGAAACAAGTATTGGCGATAATGGAACATGAGATATGTGCGCGTGTGATGAAAAATATTATTACGTAAGAGTAAGAGTTCACGCACATTAAGTGCGCAAAAATGAAACTCTCGACTGTTTGCAGGCTTCTCGAAAAATCACAGGAGTATTATATGTATATTAATATACATATAAGTATACATATAATCCCTCATTTCACGCCATTCTTTGACAGTCCGTTACTATCCTTTCGCTTAAACTTGTAATTAAAGACAGATCTTCTAGAAAGATTTTAGAAAAGAAAATTAAAAAATAAGTCTTTTTATCTACTTTTTATTCATTTTTGCAAATTAATTAATTGTAATTGACTATTATAGCGGATTTCAACGAATGTTCTCAACTTATTATTAAAATCGCGGTGAAGTGGAAACAATTAGTTTTCCTGTAAAGTTACCTAAGAAATTTGAGAGAAATCGGTAAACTAGCCGATACTCATAGTTCATAATCCGTTATTCTTATTTCAATTAGCCTATCTTAAGTAATACAAAGTATAGATAGAATAATAGAAGTCGACTGTGCGTGAGAACCGGCCTCTGATTAACTAACTCTCTTTTACTTAAAAAAAAACGCGCCTATAATCGCAGTTTGAATATAAGATCAGATCATTATAAATACTGCCCTTAAGATATGATTAATCCAATGTTAAGGCCCAACACATGCAACGTGCTATTTCATTCGCGTTTCACGCGAATTGTATAAGCGGGACGTTCCCTCATGTCATTTTCTTCGCAGTCCGTTTTATCTGCGGTAAAAACCAAATGTCAAAAGATACAGAAGAATTTCACGCAACCGCAAAGGATGTAAACACTCAGTGGATATTCCCTTTACCCCGGATCTACAATAGATTTTTAAGACTTAAGGAGATGCTAAACCGATTACCCAACTCAATCAAGGTCGATAGTACAGACTCTTTTAATTCCAAATTCGATAATAGTGGTGACATCTTTGATTTAGTTTTTACATTATATTATATAATATATATCATTCTGTCTTACTCAAACGCATACGTCTGTTCTTATCTAACATATGCCAGCACCATCTATCGCAAGACCGCGCAACTACTGCTACGCGGAATTTCGGCTCTGTTGACAGTCTTCGCAAAGCATCAGTATACACGTATTTTCTATTCGGTGGAAATATTGCTTTTTTAGACTTTCAATCTTAGTTCTACAAACTCAGTATCGTTCGTTTCAATAATGTGACCTCAGTTGCACGCTTATTTTCAAGATATGGACTCTAAAACTCTTATATCAAGCAAATACATATCTGAGGTGACAGCTGTACGAGCCAAAAGTAAGTGAATTTTTAATTTTTTTTCGATTTTCTCATAAAATCCAGTGCAGCTGAGGTCCTGTTGATGCGTACTATAATTTAAGTAATAATACTTTTGCAATCCGTACATCCAATACAGAGATTTTTCACCGAATAGAAATGTGGTAAAACAGGGAGCTTTAGCATCGCCTTAACTCATAAGGAATAGATAAATCACAATCACTTATTCTCCTCGCATTTGACTGTAGTTGATCAATTTTTTATGGCTTAAGGCTTAAAATACCTATTGTAGATCCGAACTTAAATATCTGAATTTTTGACATTATTCGACTTTATCTTATCAACTGCGATTACAATAAGAGCGCGTTCTAAATAATAATGAAAAAGTTAATCGGAAGAAGGTTGCACATTTCTTTTTCTAATAAGACAAATAGGTATTTCAAAAATAGTGTTATCGTCAGCATTACAATATTATCGTCAATATTATTATGATGATGAATTAAATATCGGAAATTTTTGTAGAAACGCTCGATGCCCATACGTTAAATTTCACCCGAAATATCGTCACACAAATCGTTTTCTTTGCTGCCTTATCTATAGAATGAGGGTCCGTATCGTATCGGTTACACTGTATATACAGATACATCAGCCACGCAGCTGCCCTGCCCTGCCCGATGGGTTTTCCCATTCCGCCCCTACTTCATTCGGTCAGGAATTACCGCTCGGCGCTAGCATTCACGCTTAACGGCCATCTTTCTTGCGCATGCGCGTCCGAATGCGATCTCACACAGGTCAGTCAAGTGTCTAGTTCAAGCAATTAAAGATACCGTCTGGGCCTCTCTTCCTCGAATCGATTTCTAGCATTGTGAATACAAGATCTTATTCTTCGATGTCCAATTATATGCATATTTCATTTTAAGTGCAGAAGATATGATATCTATAGTGTAACACAGTCATAAACTATCGTATACAATATTTAAAGAATCAGTTAATTTTATTATTAAACGAGTTTTTTATAAAAAAAAATCAATATAACGACAGTCTATGATAGTTGCACTGGGTATTACATTTTCTGCACTTAAAATGAAATATGCATATAATTGGACATCGAAGAGTAAAACCTTGTATCCAAAATGCTAGAAATCGATCTCTGACAGAGAAAGAATTAACCAGTCGCATTGGTCATGCAACCGGATTGTTCAAATGTGATTTGTTCATTCTTTTTCCAAGATTTCAATTTCCAACGTTGTGGATACAAGTCTTAAAAGACAAACAATTTAAGATTCGGTCGATTCAGTTATAAAGAAGAAAGCTCCATGTATGTACGTCCCTTCGCATGCCCTGTTTGATGATGTCGCGCATGCGTGAGAAATGCTGTCTGTTTGGCAACAACGCAAATTTTTCTTTCTACTGTTCACTGATCAGTTCGTTCTGAGATTACGAGACGGTGGGGTCCGTTCATTTGCGATCGTTCGGCCACGAAACTCATCGTGTTGCATAAATCACGTATCATACGATAAAGATGAACACTTTCCATCTGTCTCCCTTGATGGCGAGATAGAATAAAAGGATTTCCCTGAAGTCGAGAGAGGCGGTTTTGTGGCTCGGTGAAAGGCGCTGGAAATGAAGTAGAACGAGATAGAATTTGTAGGAAGTTGGATGTGCGAGAGCCGAGAGTACGCGAGCGAGCGCCATTCAAGAAAGTGACGTGGGTTGGAGAGGGGAGCGGATTAAAGTGCGGGGCACAGCAGGGCACAGCTGTTCTGTGGAAAGAAAGAGGAGGAAGAGAAGCAAGAGAAGGATTGCGTCGAATATATACGTCGACGAACGAACGAACGGACGGACGGAAGAGCTGGACATCGTCGCGGTCGGGGTCGTCGGGGACTCGACCGGTGATGTACGAAAGTCGAACAAGTGCGTTATCGAAGGTGCTTGTTGCTTGACGCACCTGTATACTGTAACGCAAAGGTCACACAAGAAAGTGGAGGTCGCATAACGAGACGTCGCACTTGGCGAACGAGAACCATCGTGCGTGGGAATTCTCCAAAACTTCCCGCGCGACCGAATCGAGCGCGTCGACGAGGCTACATAGGTAGTTCGGCTGAGCTAGTATAAACAGTCTGGTTTTTAGCCGCCCGTTCGTTAGAATCCCGTTAATGTCACTCGCAACTTCGTCGTGTATGTGTATTCCTTTCTTCCCTTCGTTTCACGATCACCGATTGGAAATCATCCATTCGAGATAGGTGTTTAATCAAAGTTTCGGTAAGAGAAAAGGAGGATAAGGAAGAGGAGAGTAGTGCTATTCTCTCGCGAAAGAGACCTAGAGAAAGCCAGGAGACGACTTTCTGGATTTTGAAGGCACGACTCGAAAGAAAAAAATGTGGCATCCTAAAAGCACCCAGATGGAAGAACGTGTTACAAAGGACGACAAGGAACAGCGGCGGCGAAAGTACGACGACGACGACGTCGGCGGTTGTAAATACGAGGACGAAACGGGCAACATCGATTCCGGATTCCTATCGGGCGGCAACCTACAGTTTAGCGGCGAGATTAGCGGCGATTCGGGGTTGCTGCACTCGCAGGAAGAGTGGAAGGAGGGGGAGGGAGTGAAGCAGGAGAAACAGGTCACGACGACGACAGTGGCATCATCATCATCGGTAACGTCGACGGCGATCGCCATTGAGGAATCAATGAAGGCGATCGACAGTGGCGTAGACCTCGACCTCACCGAAACTCTGAGCCAGCTTAGCCTGAAGCAGGTTAACCTAAACCCGCTCGCCGCCAAGGACAAACTGATCCAGGCCGAGTCGACGACCCCCAAACTATTGCCTGTGACGCGGGATAACAAGGATGACACCAAGTTCGAGCAGCATCACCAGCAGGACAGCGATGAAGAACGTACGACGAGTAATGAGGAACCTTGGCAGTTGTACTACACGCAAGACGACGATGGTGACACGTGAGTGGCAATTGTTTTAACTCTTTCGTTTATTAACTTTTTGGAATGAGTGATCTATCGATCAGGATTGGTTTTCTTCAATGTGAAATGACGTAAAATCGTTCCTCTTAAGTCAAAGGTATTCTTTGCCTCTCCTGGATACATTGCCTGAATTTCTTCAAAATTAAAATTAAATTAAATTAAACTAATATATTTAAGGGGGTCGCCCCATGTAAACCGCTAAAAAGAAGGTCATTTTTAGGAATTTTTTTTTTAAGGTATGCAATGGATCGTTTAAAAAATTTTTTGTATTTTACTACATATATTAAAGAGTACAACAAAAATTTTTTCATTTCAATATAGTTCCTTTTGTAACTTTTCTAAATAAATGTTGACGCAACCTCGTCGCCGAAATCGTAAATCGGCGGGAAATCTAACGCCTTTTGTATTTGTTTAAAACAAAAAAACAAAATAGTTTCTTATTTTATATGACAGTACCTTGTCGATGAATCTAAAAAATAAATTAAAAGTTGAAAATTAACAAAATGGCGGCACTTTAAAGATATAAGTACGATTTTGACCCCAAAAATTTCAATATATTTATGCAATAACAATTGTTTTAATTAGTTATTTTACTAAATTTATAGGTTCATCGACAAATTATGACATTAAACAATATGTGTGCACAGGGACGACTCGATCGGTCGAATAGTTTTTGAGTTATCTTTCCCGTCAGTTTCAAAAAACTAGTTTCGAGAAAAACGCGTTTAAAGTTTTTAGTATGTGTGTAGTAGTTAGTATCTGTGCATCATAAATGGGCTGTAGCTTCCTAACTTATTCGAATTTTGTTCTGTAACTTTGGGAATATATTTTCTACATTTACTACTATCGATTAAAGCAAAAAATATTTTTTCGATTTTTTGAACCGGTTACATGAGGCGACTCCCTTAATAGCATTACTATTAGATACTCACTAATAGCTCACTATAGTGATGTTATGGTTGCATTGCATTCCAATTCATTGACAGTGCTGAAAATTTATAGTACTTGTGCATTACGTGCACTATAAATTTTCAAGCCTGACAGTAAATATTGCAGCTATACATTTATATACATTTGGATACATATGGATAATCAAAATAAATTATAATCTCTTCTTTTTGTTTCATTTAATGTTCATTTGATCGGCATTGTTTTTCTTCGACGCAATCAGTTAGCTGTATCTTCTGCATCTGAGAGCTGGGACTACGGTCCACTTGAGAAAACAATGCTTTTAAGTATTCTTTGACTGTACAATTAATCAAATTCTTTCTTCCGATTGGTCAATCAAATATTTGGAAGCATTTGTAGTGGGACCCAGATAAATTGTCTGAATTTCTTATACATAAATGTCGAAATTAAATTAGAAGCTAATATCGTGATGTACATTTGGATAATCAAAACAAATAACATAAAATATCATTTGTTTCCGTTTAATTAAACATTCTGATAATTATAACTTAACTTATAAGGGACCATCTCGGTTTGTACAATAAGTTAATAAAAATGCTTTATATCAGTAAAAGTTGACAGCATAAGATGTAAATTAAGGAAAATGGCGGGAGCGTATAAGTCGTAGGTTCCGAGAAATTTAGTGTTATAGTGCATGGTAAAAGTTCTAGAATTGCTAATATCTCAAAAAATATTGATTTATCTAAAAAATGTTTGAAACTGAAGTAATAGAATTGGAAAGAGTAAGGGCACTAGGAGTCGGGCGCAGAAGACGTCGCGCAAATAATACACTTATAAAGAGTGAAACTTCTTTATTCACTAAACGCGCTTACATGTTTCGACTCATTTTTTAGCCTTCCTCAGAGCAAACACACACTAACATATATAAAGTAAAAGTTATCCTGTCATGGTGAGCTTCCCTACAGCTAAAATTTCAATGCCACAATTAAATAAAAAGAAAGAAAAGAAAATGAAAAAGAAGGGAAATATTAAAAATGTCAAATTAAAGAATATTACGATCTAACGGTGGCGATAATATACCGCGCGGAGAAGTACTTAATTAGAAAAACTCTCAAAAAGCGTAGATATTGTTATAGTAGTCGCAGGACTACTATAACAATATCTACGCTTTTTGAGCGTAATATATACTATTACATGCGAGTTATGGCATATATATATAAATTCAAAATTTGTAATTCATATACCAATCGTCCGGTCCCAGCCAGAAATGATTGATCGATCAACATCGAATCGATTAATTTTTGACTGGGTTCCTCGTTACAAAATCGAGATGAGAAAGCCATCTCTTGCTTCACTACCGCGACTTGCTCTTATTTTCATTTTCTGTTTTACGAATATATAGCATACATTAATTTGAGCATATATCATTGACGTTGACGTAGAATGACCTAAGTATACGTACGTTTGACATGCGCTGTATGTGTGACTGACTCGAGCTCATTGGCCATTTCAATTAAATGAGTTTCATTCTTTGATAAGAATTGCCTTTCGGAAATTCAAATGAGCAACAATAACAAGATAAATTGCACAGTGACACACATTTTATATAAAAAAAAGGAGATACGACACTTGCGGCAAAAAAAAAGAGATATCAAGAAAAATATTTTCAAGAATTAAATTAACGCATAAATATAATACTATTCTCCAATATTAAAAATTAGTAAATAATTCTAGTTGTAAGTGCCAAGTAAGATCAAGTTTGTCTCCTTATGTAACATATTTTCTATCTATACAGGCAACTGCACATCGCGATAGTGCAGGGCTTCATGGAGGCTGCGTTTTGTTTAATAAGGATGGCTCCTGATCCGTGCCTATTGGACACCATGAACTACGACTGGCAATCACCTTTGTATCTGGCTGTGTTAACGCACCAGCCGTTGATTGTCAGGCGATTGATTTTGGCAGGTGCAGATCTATCCCTAAGGAATTTTCATGGAAACACAGCCCTTCATCTGGCATGCAAAAACGGAGATCTTGCTTGCGCTAAGGCCCTCACGGATCCATTATCCTCGATCGAAAGGAACAAATTAATGCCTGGACAGATAATACCCGCCTTACCTCAGAATTTGGAGCAACGTAATTATAGCGGTAAGCACTTGATTAATTTTAGTTTCTCACTAGTTCCTCACTTGTTATAAGAAGAAACGATCGTTTGCGATGAGAAATAAGTATAATTGAAATTATGAACACGATTATTAGATAAAATGGGAAAAGTGTTAGAGCGAAAAACATTCATAGCTAAAAAATGCTAAGCAAATGCAATGAAGAATTGTTGATCTCAGATATAAATTACTTATCGCGATTATTTCTGCGATAATTATTTGAAAACTTGCAACATAATTATCGCTAATCATCGTAACGTTAATGCGAGAAAAGATGATCCATGCCCGTGGCATAAAGAACGCCGAGGTAGCAGTGGAAAATCCCTGCTTTTACCGCACAGAATAAATCATATATAAGACTTTGCGTAGCGAGCGACGACATTACGATCTATGGACACGTGGAACTGCGTGGATTTCTTATGATTTCATCGAGAGAGTCATATGTTCTCTACGCTCACGTTTGAAAGTCTTAGAAACGTATCAAGAATATACTTGAAGAAAAAAATGATTATTCTATTGAGGTAATTCTATTGAGGTAATTTGAATTTAACAAATTTCTCAGAATCATTATATACCAAATGTTCTGCGATCGCATAAATATTACAATGATAGACTATATAGAATTGTTTGTCTGTTTACAATATACGCAAACATGTTATTATATATATATTATTTGCATTTATGTGTATATGTGTAAACGCAAATAATTTTTTAAACCGTAAACAGTTAAAAAACAAAAGCGAATTTTTCCCGTAATACTGAAGACAATAAAAATATTAGACTTTATTGCATCTCAAATAAAATTTATTTTAATAAAAGCGTGAAAATTATTTACAAAAACAATTGTAAATTCAAATGATGCTCGTATAAAAATTAATATTCTTCAATTTCATCAAGGGCGAATCCAGACATTTGTCAAGGGGGAGGGGGAGGGAGCCACTGGCGGATTTATATATGTATTTTTTGTTGATTTTTGGATTGCCGAATTTCTGAAATATCATGCGCCAATTATAACGAACAATTAACAAAGAAAGAGAGAAAATTTAATTATTTTACGTCATTCTCGTTACATCATTCTTTCCGTTCTTTATTACTTATTATGAAATTTGCGCGCTGCAAGCAACATTTTTTTTAAGATCAAATTTGAAAAGATAGACTATTTGAATGCTCATTAACATTACATTTAAAAATATAAATATCTATAATATATAAATATTTAATTTATGAAACATTTTATTTAAAATTATATCAACAAAAAAATAATATACATTGTATAGGCATAACATTTTGCAATAAAATATCTAATTTACATTTTCTATTTCTGGTAAACCTATTCAACACTCTTTCTTTAACAAATCATATTCCTTCTGTCAGACGCATTTTTTTTCAGGAAAATTTCAATAAGGGATACGAGAACTCTCGTCAAAACATAGCAAATTACAGATTACATAAAAAATATAATCTTATTCTTACAAATTATTTAAAAAATCTTTCTTTGTAAATTTAAAACTCTATCTTTTTATAAGAAAATTAATTAAAATGAATAAGAAAAAGATAAAATATTTCTATTCTATGTAAAAGGAGACTTACAGAGTTTTAAATTTACAAGTAATTTGTAATTTGCTATGTTTTGACGAGTTTTCGTATCCCTTGTTGAAATTTTCCTGAAAGAAAATGCGTCTGACAGAAGGAATATGATTTTTAATGCAAAACAAATTTTTCGCATTATTATGATGCGTGAGAATATTGCGCGATAGCGGCGAAGTAAGCGGCATAGCGGCGCGGCGGAGCGCTCACGCACACTACTAGGCGCGCGGCTCACAGACGTGAGTTCGTTTAAAAGACGACGCCCATTGGATTAGCTTTACTCAATAATAACTACTTCATTCAGCACTATACAAAAAAATGACTTAGGAAATTTCGACTCAATTTTAGATCAAGATTAGCGCTATATAATTATAGTGTCCGCATTTTCAGAAACACCCTGTATATATACATATACATACACAGAGAAGCAGATAGAAAAAACGATTGAGAAAGAGAAAATCATTCTGGCCGGCGGCATCGTTTATCGCGAGATGTTTGTTTCGGATTTTTTCAAAGTCTTGGAAATTCCACATGAGCGTCATCGGCGTGTATTCCGCCACAAATTCGCGGATAAAAAAAAACGCACGCACGGGCGGAACCGATTGTGGCGTAAGCGATCGTTTCGGATTGTAATCAATTAATCGAAACCGACAACGGAATTGCAAATCTAACTTCTGTGTGGACGTTAGATAACTTATACGACATTCATCTAGACTTAAGGATTGATAAGAAATAAATTAAGTTCTTAATACGAATTCTGTGACTGAGAAATCACTGATTCATTCAAAATAATCGTGTTTTAAAGTCTACTTATTTTCTTAGAAAACAAGTCGAAAACGATTAAGATTGAATGAGTGATAATTAGAACAATAAGAAGCAGACAATAAATGCGATCGAATTTTGCGATAACACTTCTTGACTGGAATTAGATGGAAACTGTAGAACTGGAATTAGATGGAAACTGATAGAAACTGAAATTAGATGGAACTGTTTATGAAGACATAATTTCTATTACAATTTAATTTGCTAAAGAGGATATGGACTGTTGTTTCTTGTAACTAATAGGAAGGAACGACTTCATGTGACCGTCTGTGATTCCATTGGCGGGAGAGCATCGTATGTTTCCTGACGAACTGAAGCGGAATACTTTCGCGTGTACGATGAAATTCGGCGTGACTCCGTGCTTGCGTGCGCGCGTTCGTCACATTGCGATATGGCGCAGCACGTCGCGATGCCGCTACGCCGCGTCGCGTGACGGAGGGCAAGCACGGTCAGATGTTTTCAATATTTAAAAATACCTACAAGACTATTTGCGTGCCACGCGATATCTTCACCTTGCCTCATCCCGCTTCGCCTTAGCTGAGCTCGCTTGATCGGGAAACCCCACAACGGCGTCAAAGCTAGTGGGTTTTGTCGAACTTTCATCCTTAAAAAATCGTTCGCGTTTGACCCCAATGACCACTAGGTATAGGGACCTCGCATCTGTGCTCCAAATTTCGAATAATCGCGTAGCAATTTAATCAAGTCTTTCATATCGCGTACTTTGTAGCAATATGTATTATTTAGACACCTTAAATACGACATTCTGAATCTAGTAATACGTTAAGAATCTTTTTGACACTTTCAATGTCACCGCGCAATCGACCGTACATACATGATTCTCGTACGGTAAAAACAGAAGCTATACAGTAGACTTCTACGCCATTATACTATACTTATGAATGTTTGCAATCTCCCAGGTTTATTTCTATCAAAAGAAAGAGTACAATATTGACGCAAATGCGATACGCGTATATTATGCTACATTAAGTTCCACCAATATGACTGATAATGCGGTGCAGTTAATTTTAGCAGTTTGATCGGTGCGAGCCTAGTTTGGATCGCGGGACTCTAGCCAAATCTCCGACGACAATGATTCACCGCGTTTTTCTAGTTCTATCTATGTCTCGTCGCGAATCGGAGACATATGATTCGATCGCATCATTCATTTTGACGTATGCATTCCTCCGTCCCTGACTTGCATCATAGAGAATTCAAAGAGAGATAAATCTATAATAAATTACATACGTTAAGAATTCAACGGCGTAACTCTAGTGACAATAGTGAAAATAGAGAAATAGATAGATATAGAGTATTTGTGGCTGCTATTATGATAGTTCGTCTGATCAGCCAATTGAAAATTATTTGCAATTTAAGATAATTCATATTCTTCAAAATCCTAATAAAAAAAGTACATCGTTCTTGCGGTTGTTTATTATTGTATGACTCATTTGTTTTTTCATTTCAGGTGAGACGTGCCTGCACGTGGCTGCCACCAATGGATACGTGGATCTGGTACGACTTTTGTTGCGTTTAGGGGCTGATCTCAAGGCGAAGGAGGGTCTGGCGGGATACACGGCACTTCATCTCGCAGTGGAGCATCAGTACTGGTCGTTGTTTGATTTTCTATTACTGGAATGCCAGCGAGCGTCGTGTCTGAATGACCGAACATACGGCGGTAGAACAGCCTATCAATTGAGCTTGAATGTCAACACTGATTTCACCAAGAAAGCACGCAAAGAGCTAATGCGATATGGCGCGATGCGGGAACCATTACCGGAAGAATCGGATTCCGAAAACAGCGAAGACGAAGAAACGATATCGTGGATGGCAGATTACTTGCCTGCCATCGTCAAGATGCAAAATGCGATCGGAGTGACAGTCTAAAGTATACATCGATATTTAATTTATCGATTAATTTGAGCGCTAGATAATTACCAAACAAAAAGATAGAAAGATTGCGTGCATATGCACGGAAAATATATCTCGAATCACATTAACGTATCAACGTTTTTTAATCTATCGAATTGATACAATCGGTGACGTGAGTAAAATTTGCCAGACGAGAAAAAAATTAAAATTATGTCTCATTTTCTATATGTATGTTTGATAAGTATATTTTGAGCTTTAATGCGCATTAGGAAATTATTTTAATTAAAATTTAAATGAATAATTATTGCCTAAAAAGAACAATTAGATTTTATTTAACTTACTAAATTAAATAAAAATCATATTTCGCGTGTAAGTTAACGCGTGGCTTAAATTTGATACGCTAGACGATATGTCAATATTAAATGCATTAAGGCAAGTAATTAAAATAAAAGTATTACAGTTTATTAAAAAATAAAAATTATTTATAAATTTTGACGCGCTCGATATATATAATGCACGAATAAAGGTTAGTGTCTAGCTTTAAAGCGCCTGTCGTCTTAATCTGCCGGTTGGATTAAGATCTACAGTAAAAAAATGAAAAGATTAGCAGTTAAGTAGATAAGAAATAGAATTTCTCAAAATTAGCTTCAATGTGTATTATATCTAATGCGCGATTAGAGATGCATCTTTTGAATCGACGAGTATTATTATTGTAATACAATTATAGACTGTTTATATCTTTTTCGAATCGATACCGGTAGCAAATGAGGGATGAATGATGACCGATTAACAGAAACACGTAGAAATCGAAGATCTCAAAAAGGAACTTATATTAACGAAGCATTTAATTACAAACGAGGCGACGACGCGTAGATGCGGGTTGTCTTAACGGTCGTTTGTTTTTTCCTTAGTAATCTTTCGCAACGGATGGGCATACAGCATCCCGAGAAGAGTGTTCCAAAAAAGGCTGTACAAGTATGATACAAAGGACAAATGTGTATATATATAGTGTGCGTGCGTGCGTGTGTGTATGTGGGTGTGTAATATTTTAACACAAGTGTTTTTATGATGTTTGTCGGAGCGTCTGTGAGTGAAAGTAGGTGCGGAACGTGTGATGATGCAAGTGTGGAATACTTGTGCTTATATACTTTATAATGTAAATAGAAGAGTACGTTCAATACGCGTTTATCGAATACTCGTGAAGAAGGGTCTTACTATAGGTCTTAAGTCATAGGGTAAAGGCGAAATCGATGCGTGGAGCAAGATACATATTAAAGTGAAGACAAATAATTAAATTCACATTTTTTGTTTAATAGTCAAATTCACATTCTTATACATGTGACTCATGTAGCCGTATACAATGTATTTATATATCAGCGTATTGAAAAGAAAGATCCAGAATGATGCGATATTTATCGATGATGAACATTAATCGGATCAGTGTTCATTGTAGTAGCATACAATTGCTTCCATCAATATACAGTAACTTCTCTTCATCTCTTCGTGTGTACATTATAGATATTTTCCGTTAGTCATAAGTATGTCACTGTCGCGATATATTAATAATAACAACAACGATATCATATTCGTATAATAAAAGCTATAATTACTTTTAATAAAAAAACATGTTTTACACACACACACACTACACACACACACACACACACACACACACACACACACACACACACACACACACACACACACACACACACAAATCTAGCGCTTCCTTTGTCTTTTTCTCTAATAAATACATATCGACACATATCGGTTTCTCTACAGAGAAAAAAGATGTGGTTTATTTTCCACTTTATCCTTCTTTCTTTTTGGGCGAAATCTTTTTTGATAAATTCGATGGAAAGGTTTAGAAAGAGAAAGAGTTAGATAATTAAATAATTGATCTGATAAACAAACCATGCTTTAATAAATATATTACATCAAATGAAATTTAATGTGATTTTGTAACATAATTATAAAACAAAGAATTGGAAAGAATATGGGCTTTAGGAGTCAGGCGCAGAAGACATCGCGCAAATAATACACTTATGAAGCTTGAAACTTCTTTATTTAACAAACGCGCTTACATGTTTCGGCTCATTTTTTAGCCTTCCTCAGAGCAAACACAAACTAACATATATAAAGTAAAAGTTATCCTGTCATGGTGAGCTCCCCTATATCGAGAATTTAAATGCCAGAATTAAACAAAAAGAAAGAAAAGGAAAATGAAAAAGAAGGGAAATATTAAAAATATCGAATTAAAGAATATAGAAACTATAAAGGTTATGCGTTTCGCGGGTTTCCTCCGTGTCCAGATCCATTCTTGAGATGCCAACGTTTCGTGAACCTTGCAGTCCATTTCATCAGGGCGAGGGGCAGCCTGATAGGTACGGAGCTGTTCCTCCAGGCCGTTCCTTTTTATATTACGCTGCTTGTTGGGGTGGTGGGGATGGGCGGAGAGGGGAAAGAGGTTGTTGGAGGGGAAAGAGGTGGTGGAATTGGTCGGTCTTCAATAACCGGGAGAATGGTCTTCCATATTTTATATCTATGTTGTAGCCATTATCTCTATTTAAATTGTTAGGGTGTTTTTGTATCTCTATGGCTTCTCTATACTTTCGTGGAAAGTATGATGTACTGTTGACTATTGTGGTCGTTTTGTCAAACAGTATTTGATGTCCTGTTTTGATGTTGTGTTCTGATAATGCCGACTGCGTGGTATGTTTTAGTCTAACATCACGTTAGTGTTCTTTGATCCATAGGTTGACCATTCTCCCGGTTTCTCCGATGTATACTTACCCGTAGGCACAAGGTATTTTGTATACTCCTGCGGAACTGAGTGGAGGTCTTTGATCTTTAAGATTTCTTAAGATTTGTCCTATCTTTTTGGGTGGTTTGAAGATCGGATATTGTGTTTGTTTAATATCCTGCCAATCCGATATGTTGTTCCTTTGACATATGGGAGGATGGTTAGAATCCTTTCGTCTGGTCGTGTACCAAAGACCGTTGTCTTGTTTGCATGTTTAGTGATTATTTTGGTTATGTCTTTTTTGTCGTGTCTGTTTTTCTGTAAGGCCAGTTTGAGTTTTGTCCGTAGATGTTCTTTGTCAGAGATGGTGAAAGCTCTATGAACTATTGAGTTGATTGCTGACTGTTTTTGTGCTGGATGGTGGTGCGACTCGGCATGCAGATATCTGTCTGTGTGTGTTGGTTTTCTGTACACTTGATGGCCTAAAGTACCGTCAGCTTTGTTAGAGACAAGAACGTCTAGAAAAGGGAGTTTTCCGTTTTCCTCTAAGTCTATAGTGAAGTGGATATTTGGATGTTATTTGTTGAGAAAAACAAGGAATTACGTAGTTCGGCTTTGCTGTATCTCCATACCACGAATGTGTCGTCTACATAACGGAACCAAACTTTTGGTTTTTTGGATGTTTTTCTGAGGGCCTCTTTCTCAAAATGCTTCATGAAGATGTTGGCGATTACAGGAGAAATAGGAGAGCCCATCACCGCTCCTGAAGTTTGTTCATAAAATTGGTTGTCATAGGAGAAATAAGTGGTTGTTAAGCAGTGCTCTATTAGCGGGATGAGGTCGGGCAGGACTTCATGTGAGGCCTTTATTATGTTTAATGTGTCTTTTATTGGGACTTGTGTGAAAAGGGATTCTACGTCGAAACTTACAAGCAGGTCTGTGGGACGTAGTCGGATTTTTTGAATCTTTTGTATGAAGTCCGTTGAGTTGGTTATGTGTGATTCGATTTTTCCAGTGAGGGTTGTAGTGTTCGTGCTAGGAATCGCGATAAGTTGTATGTCGGGGAGTGTATGGCGCTAACAATCGGTCTGAGCTAGAGTACCTATAAGGAGAGTATGGACATAAGACCGGAAGGACGCCATTGCTGGGACCCGGCCGGAAACAGCACAAATAACGCGCGCGCCATTCAAAGTTTCTCGTGTTTTTTATCACAAAAAAATACATCGAAGTGAAAGTTCGGGGACTGAAATTACACTCAAATGTGATTTATACCGAAAATTGGATGTTTACACTCATTTTGAGTGTTATATTATTTCGGATCCCGAACATTATGTTTAACATATTTTTTAATGAGGCTGTTAATTTCTTTTTTATTTTTAAAACTAATGCTACATTATTATAAGCATTGGTATTTTAGTACAAATTTTACTGATCTTTAAATGTTATAATTATTAAATTATTTTTAATTTTTGTATTCTTGTATATATTTTTTAAATTGCCAGAAAAATTGGCTGTCGACAAAAAAGTTAAGAATATTCGCACAATGTACCGACACGGAATGCACCAATTCTGACTTTTTACCGATTATAAGCTGATTTCGATAACTTTTACTGATTTATAGCAGAACAAGAAAATACGTAAATCTTTACATTCAACGACATATGTACATACATAGTGCTGAAGTCAGAGGGAGCTTATATTCAGGGAAGATTTATTTTTCGGGCAAACATAGTAAATAATACAATCGATATAAGGATAAAGCAGTTTGATAAGAATAAAGAGTAGAGATGTACTGTTCGATGTATCTCATCGAGTTTGCATTTTTTGTCAGTCCAATGCCATGAATACCTATAAAATGAAAA